GCCAATCTCCTGACATGAACCCCATCGAAAACCTCTGGGCTATAACCGACCGGCAAGTCAAGAAACAACCAAAAAAACCAACTTCGAAGAGGGATCTACTCCAAGTTTTGAAGCAAGAGTGGGTGAAAATCCCACATTCTAAAATTGACGAGATGATTCTCACGATGCCCCAAAGGATCAACGAACTTCACGAAGCAAAAGGAAGATCTACTAGATATTAATTGAATTATAAATATATCAATTCATGTGAATATGACTGAAAATTTTAATTTTTCCTGAAAAGGTGGTGTCTACTTACTTGTGACCACGTTGTGTATATAGTTTTAATATGTATTTATGTGCTTGATGATGCATTTTTAGAATGTCAATCTTACATAATTTAACAATACTAAAACCTGTGTTTGTAGTTTAGGATCAGCAGTCATGTCAGCTTTGGTACAAGTGGTGTTACAGGGAACAACATCTAAATTTCATGGAAGAAATGGAGATGATTTAAATATTGGAAATCTTTACCAGGTAGAAAAAGTGGATTTTTTACACAAATTTTATTGTATTTGATACACTCAATTAGCAAATATAAACTATTTTTAAAAAAACTAGTATTTAGAGAAAGCAATAAGTGCCATACCATATTGTGGTTAAAGTTCATAATTTTATGAATTTATTCTGGTATATTATTGTTAAAAAGTTATTTTAGAAAACAGTAATTTTTAATTCAATCTTTTAAGCAATTGCTACATGCTAAAATCATCAGCCAGTTCAACTGGACAGGATGTTTGGGGTTAACTTAATTTGTATCAAAAGTCGTTTTGCCAGAAGTTTCTATATCTATGTCAATATAACCTCCAAAGCACAGAAACATATATCATTCTACATTACACCGGAAGCAATAAAGTATCTATATGTTTTGGTGAAAGTTTGTTCATTTTCAGGATGTTTTGTAAGTAAAATGGAAATAGTATTTTTTTTCTTTTTCTTCCAAACCATTTGTAATTAACTGTCTCTGTACAACAGGGTTGAAATGAGCATGTGATGATGTATTACAGTATCACATTCAAAATGTAATTACACAATTTTGTTGTCAATGTATGTAAATAAACTTAGCATAAAAACTGATTTTATAATTCAAGTTTTTATATTATCTAAGCTTTAACTTCTTAATTTCAAATATAAAGATTTAAAAAAAAAATTCAAACATAATTTTTCAGTGTCACAGGAAGTGTCTGAGCTCTGATTTCTCCATTTCAAAATCTTCTAACTACTAAGATAAGCTTCTTCAGTTTTCAACCAATTATAAACACCCACTGTATAAGTTACAAGTAAGAATCTAAAGTTAGAACATTCTACTCTCTTTGATTTAGCTAACACTAAAATCTCAATAAATTTGTTAATTACCAGAGAATCCCCTCCCTTCTCTCTGATTTTTGAGATTGTTTGCTAATCAGCTTTACATGACTGATGGACATATATATATATATAACGAATAGAAAAAACAAATTTTCCTCTACACAAATCTTACAATTCTGCATTAGGTTTTTCCCACAATGAGCCATTAGTCAATGAGAATTGATGGATTCATACTGATCAGATTTGGTGCTCTGAAAAGTAACAGAATTTTTAACCAATTGATAGCTTAGAAAGCTCGTTAAAGTAGAGTAATTTTGGAACATCCTTTTCTAATGCCTGATATATACTTTTTGTTCTAAAATGCATATTTGAAAGCTACATGAATGTCGCATATCTTTACTCAAGTTCAAACAATCTTGTACACTGAGTACTACAAATCCTTGTTTTTTATATGTATTTTTTATTAAGTATTTGTTTAACTAAAGTAACTAAAATGTAAAAATATAAACTTCTTGACTTAGCCTAACAACACTCAAGTAAAATGAAATGTCTAAAATTACACAAATTATGCTGTGAAACATAACACCAGATTACTTCTGTTCATATTAGCTCTATAAGAAACAGCTAATGGGCCTCTGCTGTGATTTGTTGCTGTAGATCCCATGGATTACTGATCCAATAGTGACAAGGTACATCTATAAAACCATAAAATTAAAAAGAAACAGATGTAAAAAAAATTCACAGTTCAAACTGTTAAGATCAATACTGCAGTTATTGCAAAGGAAAAAATGCTATTATTAATTTTATGTCACATTTTTAAACTTTTCATTTCACTGTACATTGATTATTTCTCTACAGTTTGTGTTAGGGTGGAAAAAATAAAATATAAAGTTTTACTGAAGAAATATTTGATATTCATTTGGGAAGTTCTAGAAATTCTGCAGCTGAAATATGAAACTGTAAGATGAAGAAGAAAGGTCCACCTTTTGAAAGTGTTTGGGTTATAGGATTTTTATCACTTTATATTAAGACTTCTTGTACCTATGTGTTTTTCTGACATCTTCAATTTTTCACTCAAAGTGACTCAATACAGGCTTCAGAAATTCACATTTAAATCTTTTATAGAAATACACTTTATTAAAAAAAGTATTTTTTGTCTACAGACTTGTAATGTTTACTAAAAGCTTGCCAATTTTTGTGAAGATGCACTTAATAAATTCAGATTTACAGTACGTATTACTTTGACAGTTCCGTAGTTAGTCAAATCTACCAATTTCATTCTTATAAGGTTAAAGATCAGTACTTGTTTTCATTATTCCTGCAACACTACAAACCATTAAGAGGTTGGTGTAGTTAATAAACTATAAAAAAAGTTTTCAACCTCAATTTTTCTAGAAATTTGCTAGTTTGTGAGGTTATTGATGTCAAACACTATATAGAAATCATACCAGTTCATGCTCTTGTACCACCTTACATCCCTACAGCCATTTGGATTTAGTAGTAAATGTTTATCTTTCTGATTAATCCATATTTCTCAACTCCTGACCAAGATTGTTCCAGGGCTTGTATAACCATGCCCCTCATATTTATTTTCAACAGAATAATATACAAATAAAGGACCTTCTCTTTCAGTCTTTGTGTTTATGTTCTGAATAATGTCTCTGATGCTGATTTTGAAACTGACCACAGCATATTTTATCTACTATTTCAGTAAGCAGTATTTTGTGTAAAAAAAAATGTTCTTTTCCTATACAAAATACAATTATATCATCATTTTCTACAGGAGGGTTACATTCATGACTTTATTTTCATACAACATTTGGTACAGTTTGCCTTTGATGTTTTAGTTGAAAGTTATTTTCAAATATTTCCATTCCAAAATTAACAAAATAGTCAGTAATTAATTTCACATCTATCATATCAAAGTAAAGATTATTTTATGAGGAATAATATTTTAATACTGCTGTTAAATATGAAGCAATGTTTATTAAAGCTTCTGCTGGCTCAATTTCTTTGGTTTGAATTGTACATCATTACTAGCAGCAGTGATCATTGCACTCTGTAAAAAAAATGGCTATAGAATTTGTAATGCATGATGTATCCACAAAAATATGCCAGTGAACAACAAAATTGCTGTTACTATCAATATTTAGTGGTTTAATACTCTTATTATAAAAAAAAAAAGTTGAATACTAATAAATAGCATAGATATCGTATTTCAATGCTAGACAAGGGCTAGTGATGGAATGGGGTACTGGAATTTTTTTCTTTTTTGTTCTAGACTGTCAAGTTTAAAAGACTTATTTTTGCAGTAAGAAATGTGCTTTAATGTGAGCTGTATAAGCTAAAAACACATTCTTTTATGTAATGCATATATCAAGGTTATTAAATAACCTTAATATTAATACTAGTCATGATTTTTGTCCCACTGGTGAAAACATGCAGGTCGCTAACATATATAGGTCTTATTACTATAGAACAGGATTGATAATCATTTATGTATTATGATTGATGTTGAGATATTGAAGAATAAACTTTTTAAAACTAATGCATCATAAGATATTTTTGACTGTTATGAACTCTCATGAGTGACTTTTGTGTGGATGGCACACCCTAAAAAGAGCATTACTTTATTTAGGCATATTAAAAATGTTCCTGAATCTATGAATGTTCACTGTGTGAAATATTAATAATATTACTATTAATAGCTTTGCCAAGCTGATTCACTATAATTGATTTATAATAATACCAATTTTCAAGAAGGTGGCATATTTAGTTGTGATAACTAGGTACTAGAAGACATTTCCTAGGAAGGTTTAGTTATTAAATATTAGTAACTGATACAAGAAATAAACTTTTTAAAGTATTTTATTATTCTAACAATATACATGCCAAGTTTTGGCTCTTAATTTAGCACCTAGACCACTGCTATGACTGTGGTATCTCAGCCAATCTGATGTGCCTTGGTATTAAGCATTATAACACATTCCCCATTGCTTTCACTCGTGTATACTTAGAATTAATTACTTGTATCTTTTTGTACTTCCTACATATTTACATTTGGCTAATTTGACCCATTCTGAGACAGTGTGAAAATAATACAAAACGCCATGCTAAAGGTACTTTTTCTCAAAATATAATGATTTAATTGAGGCACATTCTTTGTTGTTGAAGAAGTTTCTTGGTGGAGAATAAGCTAGATACAAATACAGTTATAAAAATATTTAATCTCGAGTATTGGAAAATGTTCAAAACAAACCACTTGTGGAAAAAGTGCTGTGTTATAAAATGTGGATTTTATTTTGTCATACATCCTTCAAATAGGTATATCTCATCTTTTCTATAAAATGAAAGACTATTGAAGTTTTCATGATTGTATACAGTTTTTGTGGAAAAACAAATCTTTAATTATGGAATATGGTTGCCTTAACATAGAAGTTCATCTAATTTGCATTTTGAGCATTTTAATATAAAATGAGTGCTGCAAAGACAATCCCATAAAAATACAACTGTTGATCAGAATGTCATCGTGTACAAAACTATTTCATCTTTCTTAGCATTATAACATAATTAGTTTTAAGAAAAATGTGTAAACTAAAAAGTGTATGTAATACTTATTAACAGTCATAGAATATATAAAGCCTTGACTTGATCTGTCTATGTACCAAGCATAGAACATGTATAACTTTGACTTGACCAATTTTAATTGGTATAAAACATCTAGAACTTTGCCTTTACCCATGTTACCAGGTATATATATAACATAGAATTTTGGCTTGACCCATCTTAATCGGTATAAAACATGTAGAACTTTGACTTTACCCATGTTACCAGGTATATATATCTATATAAAATAGAACTTTGGCTTTTTCAACCTTAACAGCAAGTATCACAGAAGTTCCGCATGACAATAATATACATGTCCATAATCCTGCTGTGTCTTATACCATGCACTCACATCTTTAATTATTGTTTATACACAACGAATCACTGTTTTTAACTTAATGCATTGAACTGAGTATGTGGAATAAAAGTAAGTCTTGCTGATGCAGAAGATGGTTAATTTACATGTAATTCTTTTTATGTAGATATGAATGAGGTTTATAACATATCACTCAGTGTACTAAGAAATTGGACTTAGCTTCTAATATATAAAAAATTAAATTATTTAATACATATATAACTAGAAATAAGAAGCCTAATTTCAATGTTCTAGTCATAATTTTCACCTGCAATTTAATATTTTGTAGGCTGAGTCTGTACAACAGCATCTTGTGTTGACTCTGTTTCGAGCAGTTGTGTGTAACGTTAGAACAGATATTATCATTCCTCAACAGCAGGAGCTATTGCAGATTCTCTCAGACCTCATGATATCAGAAGACTCAAATGTATCTGTCACAGCCTCGCAGTGTGTTGCTGCTCTCATTAATAAGATGGAAGCAGGTGCCAATTTTTCTATTTGTCTAGATACAATCACACAAAAGTTAATAATGACAGTTGAAAATGTTACAAAGCAGAAAGCAAGAGAATCTGCTGTGAAAGGATGGTCCTGGCTAACAAAGGCATTAGTTTTAAGAGGTGATTCCCAGATGGAATATCTTATAGAAAAGGTAAGCACAAGACCAACATATTAGATAAAATTCTACACATGGTAAGTATTAATTACATGTTCCAGTTACAGCAATCATATACATAACTGTTGGATTATGATACAATAATCTTTTGTGTGTTTACTAATCTAAAGTCATTTGTAATTTGGCAGCGGTTCTTTGGTTTTAACTTCAGTGAATCTGACTATGGTAATGTATCACAGTTTTGTATCCAGTATTGATTGTGATCAGTTGTGTTGGATAATTCATTACTTTTTTGTTTTTAATATATTATTTTGTTTCACTACAAATGGAAATGTTCTAAGTCATATTCATGTACTGGATACGTCTTATTTTCTTGTTCATGGACCAAGAAGCAGATTTTTCATTTCTGAAATATGAACTCTGTATCATGCTTCAAGCCACTTGAATACTTTTGGTTCATGACTTTCAAAGAATATGAAGGTGGTTTGCTGAAGAACCTTTTTTTTCTGGTGTTGATAATTGTTGTTCAGACTTAGTGGCAAAGATTGTAAATATTTATTAATGTATTGTAAAATTAACATAAGGTAAGGTCCTTTTTTATAGCATGTAAATTTATAGCAATGAATTTCTTCTATTTTGACTCATTGTGGATATGTCATTAAGTGTTTTTTTATGCACTCTTTATGGTTTATTGTTCTTAAAAACATCCACAAAGTCAGTTCTCTTATTCTTGGTTTGTAAAGCTGTGATACCACTGGCACTGCAGAGAAAACAACTTGTTTGGGTTTCCACAATCTTTTCTTTAAGGCTTGTCTTAGTACACTACTTACAAAAATTAAAAGATAATGAGGTTTTAATATGTTGTTTTGTTTAAGTTGAAGAAAAAACACAGATGTTCAATATTGACAAAATTATTTATTTAAAATATCACAGGTAAGCAATATCAAATAACAAAAAAGCAAATTTAATGAAAAATGCCAATATTAGGCTGCACAAGTATCAAAGAAAAATAACTTAAGATAAAAGTTCATAACTGGTAGGTTCTCTTATTGTTAATGACTTCTCTGCATCTGTTCCTCATACTGTTGTAGTTATAAAAAGATGAACAATAAGTAGCAGGATGTCATCCACGTAACATCTTACTGTGAGAGACCCTCCATCCACCACCTAGAGATCTGTATGCCCCCTGCATGCAGATGCCCCTCTCAAGGCATCATCTGAGTACAGTACAGGGATCCATTTCTGAAGGGTCCAGGTAACATGTTCCTGAGAAACTGCCAGCTGGGCTGTTTAGTATGTTGGGGTTGTGCACACACTATAACTGCTCTCCCTAACAAGTCCCATACATGCTTAATGAGATTTAGGTTTGGTGACTTATCAAATCAGTTCAATACCTCTATTCCTTCATCCTGCAATAATTGCTGCATGATCCTGGTAGTGTGGTGACTGGGATTATCCTATTTAACTCGTCTCCAACAGCACCAGCAAAAAAGGTGAACAATAGGTTGCAGGATGTCATCCACATAACATCTTGCTGTCACAGACCCTCCATGCACTACCTAGAGATCTGTATGCCCCTGCATGCAGATCCCACCCCCTCAATTCATCATGGTGGACAGTGTCTCCAGACCATCAAATGTCTATCATTTGAAGATACATAGAACTTACTTTCATCTGAGTACAGTACGGGGATCCGATTATGAAGGGCCCAGGTAACATGTTCCTGGGCAACTGCCAGCCGGACTGTTCAGTACCTTGGGGTTGGGACAGGTGCTCTAACTGGTATTCTTAACGTGTTCCTAACCATTGAGCACAACAGTGGCTTGCTGAAGCTTGTTCCTGAGGCCACTAACACTGCTGACATGGTTTCTGAGGGCTAAATTCCATAGATATTGGTTGTTTACTGCACCTGTAGCCCTTCTGTGACCCTGACATGGCCTCCTGGTGTATTCTATTGTGGCCTGTTAACTGCACAACAATCTGGTGACCACAGATTGCGACAGAACAACCCTTATGACCTGTGGCTCTCCTTTAGCAGTGTGACAGAGCTGCTAACTTTTAGTTTCATGTAATTGGTTTCTAACAGCTTGCATGCTCCTTGCAAAAGTCAATATCAGCAAAATATTCTATAAACCTAGCATTATATCAACAGGAAAGATTTTTTTCCAATCAATCAAAACTAGCCTTTTGCTTTGTAGAATTTGTATCATTTCTCATAAAGGCAAGGAATCATTGGTACATAAACTTGTAAACTCTAGGTAAAAATTGTGTAATTCTCTACAATAAACATGCTAAATATGAAAAAAGACTGATAATCTAAAAATATATAAATTTAAAAAAAAACTCATTATCTTTTAATTTTTGTGAGTAGTGTATTTGTAATAAATGAATAAGGAGAACTAGTGAGCTGGTT